GTCTATAGTTTTTGGCTCTAACAGAAAACGAGGCTGGAGGAGCAGCAGGAGGTAGAGCAGCCGTGTGAGCACCTGAAAAACTTATCCAATCTTTGGAATTGCCTTCCGGTTTTTTATGACCGCCTCGCCCGTTCCCACGTAGAAAAAGACATGGAACATTTCGGAGCGATTTATGGTCCGTAATTAGCATATGAAATGCGTTAAGTGCACCACAAATTGCACTTCTGGTCGGTTTACTCTTAAAGCCCAGTTTCTGATTCTGAATCTGTTTTGTTTTCAATTCTAATTGAATGTGAGTGAGCTCTATTTAAAGGACACTAGATGGCGGGGCTTATCTGATAATACTTAAAATATTCTTGATGGTTGAGCTATGTTATAGTGTCTCATTCAAAAGGACACTTGATGGTGGAGCTACCTTTTGCGTTTTATTTATTTTTGGCTCTTGATGGTGGGTTCCATCTGATGGATGACTTCCTCAAATTATCTCCCACGCTCTGCCACTTTTTCGCCTGTCACTCTGATGAAGCGCGATTATATTCATTAAATATTTTTGAATTTCAATGGATTTCCATGTGTCTCTCCTGGTATCGCTCCTTCCATCGATGGGTACACACTTCTCCAATGGACCAATGGAGACATACAACATATACGGCCACTTATCTAATCACATCATTAACATCATCAGAAATTTAGCTTTGTCATGGACCGCCTGCCGGCTTCTGGCCAACACCAACCGCTTAAACGCACCGGAAAAACGCACGAAGGAAAGTAGCAAGAGCTTCTGATCGTTGGGGGAGGGACGACGGGGGAATTACATTTTAGCATATGTCATAAAGGATTAGTCCTGATTTACGAAGGCGTCGTCGACAGCGGGGGCTAGCCGTCAAATGTGAGGGCGAGACCTTCCAATAAAGTGGGAGGCGGAACAAACGCGGAGCTGAACGATTTATAGAAGGGGAAGAGCGGAGCAGAAAGAAACAGGAGCTGGAATCGCGCGGATCAGAAACAGATGCAGACACAGAGCCAGGACATCGCTCCATTACTCTTTCAGAGAGGAGACAACAAAAGAATCAGCATCAGCTTTCAGTTCGGTTGTACTATTAGAAATAGCCTCAAATATATTTACATTTTTAGTATGGCTTACACTCAGAGAAACTATCGCAAAATGGCAGCACACAAATCGTACCCGTTAAAGCTGAGAAAAATGTCTGTTCTTTTCGTGTGTACAATAAAAAGTCGCGGGTCTGGTGTTCAGCTGGGCCCAAACAAAAGCAAGAGAAAAAAATGTAATGTGTACTTGTGTATAAATATTTATATATTGAAATGCAATGCGAATCAATGGGGAGTCTTCCTCCACGAGCGGAGCAGGACCTAAAGTCATACTCCAGGACTCCAGGACTCCAGGACTCCAAGACTCGAGGACTGGTGGGATGGCCGCAATGCAATCGAGCCGCCAGACAAAATTGAATTTGCAGCAAAAGTTGCTCCGGATTCAGCATCCACTGCATCCGAATCCGCATCTAACGTTCCCTTCCTGTCTCCTGTTTCCTTCCTTTCCCCTTCTCCTTCTTGCTGGCACCGTCTACTCCTCTCTCTTGTTGTGCTGTTTGTCGAATTTGAGCATGCGAAAATGCGATTTGAGCTGCTGCAGCAGGAGGTAAACTTCTCTGTGGCTCGTTCCCCCGAATAGCCAGAAATGGGGCAAATCGAAGGACCAGGAGGTGCAGCAGGAGTAGGAGCAGGAGTGCAGCTTTAGCTGTGACAAATCTTTATGCAATGTTGCATGTCGTCTGATTTGCCATGATGACATGCTGATGGAATAAGCGGGGGGATGCAGGGGCATGCACCGTGCACTACTACTCGATGGGATGTCGATGTGTCTCCATCTCTATGTCTATGTCTTCGTCTCTTTCCCTGCCTCTATCTCTCTCCATCTCTCTCTTTCTCTGCGTCTCTCTCTGTGTGTCTCTATGTCTCTCAGTGATTTGTTCAGTGAAGCGTTAAGCGCAAAAATTGGTAATGGCTGTGGCAGTGGCAGTGGCAGTGTTTCCTTCGTTTTTGGCAATCATTGCGCAGGTTTTATATTTTTGTCGGTTTGAAAAGGTTTTTTGATTTGGCCAGAGCCCGGAGGTGGAGGCCCGGAAAATCCAAAAAACACAGATAGTGTTCCACAGGATGCCACAGGACTCTTTAGGGACTCTTTAAGCTCCGAACTTTGATTAAGGATATGCCTCACAGAGTTATTATTCAATTAAATGTATTTTTGTTGGCCCGCGGGCTCTTTGAAAATACATCAAAAGACGCTGGAAAATTAATGCGGCAGAAGACAGGCAGCATTTCTCTGTCCTCTCCCTTCCGCACTCTATTTTCCCCCCGTTGGCTTAAAAGCCACGCCCATCTGTAATTGCATTTCATTTAATATGTGGGGAAAATTTTAAAGAATTTACACGAAAATCACACATAAATAATGTAAAATAATGAAAATAATGAAAATATCAGCTATAAGAGGTGACCCCTGATCCCCTGGAAACAGAAACACGAATCCCCGCATTCCGGAAAACCGAAAGGCAAAAAGTTTTCCAATACAAAATGGTGTGCCAGCTGTCATCATGCCCCCGAGGGCACCTCCAGAGGACTGTGGATGGGGGGATTATGATGATAAGGAGGCGTGGCAGGATGGCAGAGTATGGAACTGTGGCACGGTGGTACGGTGGCAGTGTGGCACTGTTGAAAGGCTAATTTTGCACATTTGAACTGTAAATTAAGGAGGAGGAAAATGCGTTTTGTGGCTTTATCATTTGCCTCTGATGATGAGAGGCGGTAGGAGGAGAAGTGGGAGGGGGCGTGGCTGGTCAGGGGGCAATTTCATGGTTAAATGATTCAGAAAGAGAATTACGAAATTAGGCCTTGCCACCCTTGGACTCACCCGCTCCGCAAAACACAATGTAATTAACTTTTGTGCGACTGCTGCTGCCCACGCCCTCTGCTCCCCGTCCTCCGTCTCTCAATATATTTGATATTTATTCTGTGGCACTCTCCGTGGCCCTCTGGGTGCACTTTGGGGCAAGTCTTCAGCTCCATCTCCATCTCCCTATTTCTCTGTCTCTGTCTCTCCTCTTTGGAAAGCAATTTGAAACAAATTTTATTGCTAAAGTTTTTTGGGGGGAGGGAGTGCCTGTGGAGAGCACATGGAAAATTGTTCAAGTGCCGCCACAAACAGAGGAAAAACCATAGAGAGAACGGGCACAAGAGCGGCTATAAGAAGGTGTCGGAGGAGGAGTCGCTGAAGTTATGGTCTGATCCACAATTAGTTGGAGCCTAAAAGTGTGCTAACAACTCGAGGACTTAGCTTAGCCTCCTGGCATGTGGTCAAAAGATTGATTCGACATTTGTTAAAGTCTTTTTGTTGTCCCTAAATTTTCTTCGAAAGCTGTACACATCGAGAAAAGAGCCCTGAAATGTTAATAATTCAGTTTTATAGTTATATTACTATTAATATTAATTACAAATATTATATTTTATTTAAATAAATATTTTCATATATAAATCAAATATATTTCCTATAAATTACCAATTTAATTTCACTAAATAAATGAATTATTTTCGAAAAAATAAATATTTTTTCTCTGAGTGTATCTGTTGATGAGGCGTTGAATCAATCAGAAACTAATGATATTCTTCCAAGATGTCAGGAAAGAAAAGTGTGAATGGTTGAAACTTACCGACACTTGAACATCGTTTGGCAGGAAACATATCGTGGAACGGGCGGCACCAGCAGCTTGAAGAACTGCTCTGCAACTGCTGACCCGAAAAAGAGGTCCAGCATGAGAGCCAGGAACCAGAGGCAGAGAGCATCGTAACGTTTTATGGCCAGAAGGGCAGCCAGTGCGTATGCGTAATAAACAAAACAACTGCAGCAGGACCAGCGCAATTGCCTCCGTACGTATCAGTATCTGTGTGTATGTTAGCTTTATTTAAATTTACAACCCAAGCATTCGGCACTGTTGAGCTTTTGCTACGCACCAGCACTGAATGGTGCCCCACTGCCCCTTGCCCCCGACTCCCACGTCCCTGGGTGCACATTGTGTGTATGTGCCTCTGGCTCACTGCCTTTCTGCCTCTCAGTGTTTGGCGTTTCCCTCTGCTGAATAATAAATTGTATTTTGCGGCATTTAAAAGCAATTTTTTAACATTTTTCAATCTCAATGGCAATGGCTGAAGCGCCTGGCACGCACACACTCATAAAGCACATCCTACATCCCACATCACAGAACCAGGATGCCCCCAAGAGGCAGAGGAGCAGCAACGGAACTGTGGCACACAGTTTTGTCTACCAATTTTGCAGTGAATTGTCCAGGGGATCCTCTGGAAGTCAAGGCGCTGTCAAATCGTAACAACAGCAGCAACTGCCACAGCAACAGCAACAGAAGTAGCACAAGGAGCTAGGAGAAAAGGGGAGGGGGAAAGAGAGAGATGGGGGCAACCGGAGATGGGGGCAACCGGAGATGGGGGCAATTGTTGGCTTAGTCTGGTTTTTGGCAGGGGCAGGCGCAGACAATTTTCGGACTCTACTCCCTGTGCATTTAGTTAAGCTTCAAGTGAAGACAGGCAACGATTCGGCAGTGAAACAAATTGCAGCATTTACCCTGTTCCTGCTCCTTGCCGTTGCCCCTGTACTCCTGCCCAGGCCATTTGCAGTACGGAACAATAGTGGCAGACAGAACCCTGACTCAAAAATGCTTGTACTCGTAGTTTGTGGCAAACAGTTTGCATAAACTTTGATTATGTGTGTAAGCCCCGAGGCACAGTTCCCTCTCCACCTGTGCCACAAACGCATGTGGCAAGAAAATATTAGTGAGAGAACTTTGGATCAGAGAAGGCAATGGCTTTCTCCCTATCACCCAATCATAGCCTCATTTCCATTTATACGTATTCCCATTTCACACAAAAATCACACGATAAAAAGCACACACAACATTTTTGATTTCCCGACAACTAAATTGCTTTTGCTTAGATTCCTCCTCCGTTCAACAGATTCCTCGATCATTCCTCCAAAATGTATCGTCTGCCGCACCATCGTCGTCAACGGCAGAAGCCGAATAATGGGTGGGTGCCACACATCCCATTAAAGAGTCCAAAGAATCTTCGATCCCAGCCTCATACCCGCAGATTCCTGGGCAAAATGTGTAAGGATTTCCAGCGAATGTCGTGGGGCCCCAACGGTCGTCCCATGTTTGATTTTATGGTGCTGTCGACAGTGCCATTTATTACGGATGGGTTGCGTTTCTTCAAGCGATGCCACAAGCCCGATCGCCGGGAGTTTAAGCGCACTGCCGTGGCCGTAGGAGTGGGCATCCTTCTCATGGGTTTGGTGGGATATATCGTGAAGCTGCTGCAGATACCCCTGATCCTGAGCTCCTATCAAAATGAGAAATAAAGTTTCAGTCTACCCCGAGATTCCTGTGCCTGGTTTCTGGCGCTGCGCCAAAAGCCAAGCTGCTTTTTCGGTTGACCCCTGACTCCCGCCTCCGGGGGGGAGAGTGTTGACAGGCGAGCATTTCTCTTGGAAAAACACATGCGACGCTGCCAAAAAGTTTCCTTTCCATTCCTCGAAATCGAATCAGAGTCATCGAAGAGGCGTCAGGTCGGGTTGGGGGCACTGCCAGATAAGCAGCAGCGTCGTGTGGCAACCTCTACGAGAGTGTCGTAGGTTGTGTCGAAGGTTGCCAGACGGCCAAAAGCATTGCCAGCTTAAAGTCAAACTGTCAGAGAGTGTCGTTTCTCCCCCACCAAAGTTCTGGCAGGGCACTCAAAGTTTTCCTTTCCCCAAGTGACAGCATTAAAGTTTTTGCCTCTCAAAAAAATTAGCTGGCGAAGCTTTTGTTTGCGGCTCCTATCATTTCAGTAGCAGTTGCAGCAGTAGCCAGGACCTTGACATACGAGTAGTCGCATTTGGCGTGTGGTTTGTGGGGGGATGTTGCATGTGTCTCCATTTGCTGCTGTTATGTTTTATTGATGAGTCTCTCAAACCAAAATTGATGATACCCCGTCCTTGCATACATATTGCTGCCGCTGTCAAATGGCGCAAATTTATTCAAAGCTTTTGTCGGTTGTTGCGTCCGGTTAAAGCGGCATGCCATGCAACAGGCAACAGCGCAGCAGAGGAATGCAACTTGGTGGAGGGGACTGTGTATCCTGTGTCCAAGCACCTGTGCCACAAACAAAAGAGATAAGAGGGTGGGAGGGGGGCGGGGGGGTCACGACTTGAAGGTTATGAAGTCTTCGCGTAAAAGGACTGGAACGGAACGCAGACACAAAGCCAGAGATAGAGAAAAAATAGAGATAATGCAGTCAAAGGGAAATCCTAGAGGCAACATAAGACTCTCTGTACAGATGGAGCTGTCACTGTCGCCCCCTCCCCCACAAAGTCCTGGGAATTCAGTTACTTAGCCTGGACTCCACCTAAGAACACAGACAACGCACACACACCAAACGAACCAAAAAGGACCGAAAGGAGTGTCTCCTTAGCACTAGAAATTGTGTACAGCTGCAAGGAATTCCCCAGAAAATTTATTATGATGTCCTTTTTGGAAAACAGAGAGTCCTTGGATCGTTTTATTCAGCTTGTGTTTAAAGGAAACGTTTATCATTTACGGACTAAAGAAATTTATATGGAGGTACTGTTTTCAAGTGGAAAAACATCGATTGCTGGAGTTATTTATCGAAATATAAGTCGAGGGCGCGACCTACACTCAGTTTTTTTTGTACTAAAAGTATTTCGTCCACCAACTGCACTTGCTGGGTATCCTTTATTCGGGCCAGCTTTCCTGTCGTGTTCTTGTTTCTTCTACTTCTCCTTTTGCTGCATTTTAATTAAAAGAGAAGTGCGGCCATTAATTTGCAACTACAAATTACACTCAATAAAACATGGGTCTGCCACTGCCGCTGGTACTGCCTGCCTGCCTGCCACACACTGATTCTTCGGCAATGCACCGAAAGGGACAGGGACAGAGAAAGAGTGTGTGACAGAGCGAGAGAGAGAGAGAGAGAGTGTGGCAATCAATTTGCACTTTGACTACAATTACTGATTTTCGACACTTGAAAGGATTTTATAAATTGCCATTTGGCCCCCGTAAAACCCCCAATGAAAAAAGAGACTGCTGTTCCAGTGCCTGGTGTTGCTGCTGCTTTGCTTTGACTTTGGCAATTTGTTTTGGCCTTTTGCTTTTGCTCTGTTCTGGCCACAGTCCTCCCGTACACTCCTCATGCATGTGTGAGCCTTTTTCCAGGCTTATGCTCCTTTTTCCTTCTGCGACTACTGCTTTCCTGTACAACTTTAATTAAGTCACTTCTGTGCGACTTCTGTGGCCAAATGGAAGTCATGGCTCTGTGAATGGGTTAAGGGTTAAGAGATAGGGAACAACACGGGAGTGGGACTGCAGAAAGGAGTTGAAAACTTAAGTGATATTTGCTGGAAGGGAAGTGCCAATTAAGTTTCGCCTGAATGGAAGGCCTAATGACCTGATGACAAAAGAATATCACTTCAACCGTATACGAAAAACAAGTCAAAAGAATTGTGTGTCTAAAATATGGAAATATATATTTCCATGGATGGAAAACGATAATGTGTGATTTATTTCTGCAGAGGAGCTTGGGGAGAAACGATAATTACTTTTCCCAGCGAAAAGAGAGAAATTTCAAAGAAATGACAGCCACACCGCAGAAAGAGTTATAGCAGATCATAGCAATGTCCATTCCGTTGACTTTCATCTGCTGCTCGTTCCCCCTTTCTCCCCGATTCCATCTCTCTATCTCCGCAGCAATTTCCATGCAAAACTCAGTAGCCATAAGGCGGAAAACATTTTTACACATATGACTGACGACTGACGCTGATTGCGTTTGTCACGTCTGCGAAATACGAGTACTAGTACGCAAAAAACGGGGGCAATGTGTCGGCTAAGCGAAGCAGAAAGGTGCCCCAGCAAATAGGCCATGGAAAGCGGCGTGGCGGGGTGCGGGGTAAGCCAGAGAAACGTGGAGAGGGCAGAGATGGAAACCGAAAAAGCCGAGGCCGCCGCTCCACGAATTTGTTGTTGTTGTGGGTTGGCTTTATGGTTCCCCTCTTTAAACGTCGCATCTCTGCCTCTCCCTATCGCTCTCTCTCCCTCTCTCTGTGTACGCTGTGTGCTACCCTGTATTTGCAGATCAAAGAAACACTTATGGAATGAATATCAGAACAGATTTCCAACTTCCGAGGAAAGCATTTCTTGAACGAAAATTACCAGCACTTTACTCTCATTTCGGAAGTGCTTCTCTTGGATATTTCGATCCAAGGGTATTTCCTAGTCGATAGATGTGTCTGTTTTGTGTGTTTCTTTTTTTTCTGCATCTACGCCAAAACTAGGCAACAGACGACATCAGCAGCGGAACTGCAGTAAAATCGTCATCGATGAACTCGGCGCTCTCTTTACGCACACACACACACACACACACGCGCAGACATGTCCATCCAGCATTGCGTATACGTAACGTGGTGCATATGGGGTGTCCCAGAAATCCGTTCAATTCTTTTGGGGTGTGTGCGTCTACAGATTGTCGCAGTTGCGACATATTTTGCATAATTTAGCGATTGAATTTAATGCTCAAAGGCGAGAAGCAGAGTTCGAGCTGCTCCATGCTTCATGTCCCCCGTGCCACATCAGTCTACGCCTGCCGATACATACATACATACATGCGGCTGTGGCCCCATCCATTTTGTTTTTCATTTATTAATTAAATAATTTTTGTTGCATTTGCATCCTGGCTGGATAATGATGTTGCTACTGCTGCCGCCGATAATAATCATTGCTGCACATAGGACACATACACGACACTGGAAACCAGACATGCGACAATAATTGCATGCAACATAATTAAAGCCATTAAAGCACTTAAGCTACCGGAAAACACACGACATGGCCATATGGCTGGACCCCACAGGAGCAGGAGAAAGACAGTGGATCACGACAGGAGGAGAGGCAGAGGAAGAGGGAGAGGGAGAGGCAGCAGTCATGTTTGCATATTGCATAATTATGATGAAACACACATTTAAATGCATTTAATGGCAGGGAAAAGCTGGTCGAAACGGATCGAAAGGCCCTGGACCCCGGAAGCGGCCGAGATCGTGGTTTGAGCCCTGGTTTTTGGGGTCAACCCTGGATGGGCAGGTAGCCTATGGTACTCCCTTCCTTTACCTCTCGTTCCCTGTACCAACCAACCGAAAAATGCTTTTAACGTTTATTGGTTTTTGTATTAAATATTCTACTGGTGGAAATATTTATAGAAACAGATTGCCGTCCCATCAAAGGGCATATTTAAGTCAAAAATGAAATCACGGGTACAGATTGGAAGAATAAAAGGAGATCTATTAAATGCACATCTCTTTAAGTGCTCCACTCTTATTAAATTCCTTCTTAAACTACATTTTCAGACCCAAACAGCAAACGATAAATGGAAAACAGAAACCAAATCGAAATCTGTGTCCAAATTCGTACAAGAAAATGCAATATTTGTTTGTCAATTACAAATTTCGGACAGGACTGAAACTCAATTGATTTTCGGAAATCTTTCACTTTCGATTTAGGATAATACCTCAAGATTCGATATTTGGCAAAAAAAACGAAATTCCTTGAGGAAAATGTCTGGCAAAAATCGAGAGGAAAATTCGAATGCAAAATTTCAGCACTGCCACTGGATGATATTTTCCTTATTTGCCAATCGGCAAGGGGCAAACGGAGGGGCGAGAATCAATTGACAGATGAGTGCTAGAAATGGGCTGTGGGATGTCCGATGTAGGATTTTTGTTTACTAAAATTTTGCACTGTACAAATTATGCATGCAATTTAAGCGACATGATTTATGGCCAAAAGATTTTTCAAATATTTATGAAAACACGTCCGCCTCTCTAACTCTCTCTCTCTTTCTCTTTGTGGGATTATATGTATCCGTAAATATCTGTAGTATTTAGTTATTTGTGGTTTATTTTTTGTGCTGGGGGAAAGGGGAGAAAATTTAATTAAATCTCGTCTCTCTCTGTGGCTGCATTTAAATTGTATTTTCCATTTACACTTTGTGACCATTTTTACGCGTCAACTTTTCCTTTTCCTTCTTGTTTCTTCTTCTGTTTCATGTTTCATGTGGCTTCCATAAATGTTGCATGAGGCGCACTTCCCGTTTCCTGTTTCGCTTTTGAAATTCTAGAGATGGGCAAAAACTGCGGCAAGGAAGCCAAGAAAAAGATTTTTGGTACAGCTCTGGCAGGAAGCTCAAAAGTTTTGTGAAGGAAGCGCAGGCCCTAGGGAGGTTGGAGGGGGCCTTGATTTCATTTTGGGTCAATTGTCCAGTCCAGAACGGTGCTCCTTGAGTAATTGACACATTTTCAGGAGCTGTCCTTCACCCACACCTGATGCTGCTTTTTATCTTTTCCAGAGCGTGAATGGAATGGAATGTGGAATGTGCATGGAGTGTGGCATGCCAACACTCGGGTTAAATATTTATTAAGCTTATTATTGGTCACACACACACCTTCTGCGGAAAGCCCAAAGATAAGCAGGAAAAAATCCGAAGAAGCGAATGAAGAAGCTGAGATGCACTCCATGATCTATCAAAAACAAAATACACCAAAAAAGGAAGGTTCTGAGGAATCAAGGAGATATGGCCACATCTTGGAAATAGAGTACAGATGTATATTTTAATCGTTACCCTTCCACTGATCAACTTTAAGGTACCCTCTAGAAGAGTACCGCTATCCATGAATGAGGGGAAAAGGCACACAATTATAATTATTTATTTTTGCGACAGTGTTTCCATTGTCTCCTCTGGTGTTTTCTCTCCTTTGCACTTCTTTGTGGCACTCAGTCACACAGTCCCTCCCCTGTCCACCCCGCTGTTGTTGCGCACTCTGCAAACGAAAGCGAAACGAAACTGTCGCGGGAGCTGGCCATAAATCATTTATGCAACAGACACACAGGGATACGCATGGTGCAGGGTATACAAAGTGGCATAAATCAACTTACATTCGTCCCCATACCTTCTAGAGCGGTGGGGTGGTGAGACGTGCCTGCAGTCATATGCAGAACTTGCAACAAGAGAGTTTTTTGCGGAGATGCTGCAGGAAAAACTGGAAAGAAGACGGGAAAAAACTTACGCGTTTCGCTTTGGCGCCTTGTCTTTGCTTTTCCCCATTGCCACGCCCTCTCTGAAAACTTACCCGTGAATTTTCCACCCTTTGACGTTCCTCTTGCCCCTGGTGCCACGTTCTTTGAATGCATGTCAGTGCCCTGTGTGTTTGTGTTTCTGCGTGCCTTTTGATAAGCGTGCTTTTGGATCCAAGGAAGGAGAGAGGCGAGACCCGTGGAGAGGTCGTCGAAGCAACAGCCAGAGCATAAGCTCAAGCTGAAACGCTTTTCGGCAGGACGAAGGGTGGCGAGCGGGGCCCTCAGTGGGAAAAAGTTGAGCTTCTTCTTTTCCCAGTTCACCCCGTTTCGAGGCACTTTATTGGTAGTTGCTGCCAAAGTATGCAGCATAGTGTAAGTTTTCTCCCTGAATTTAATTTCTGACATGTGTGTGTGTGGGACCTGAGAGAGCGGCTGGGAGAGGAAGTAGTGCCGCGTGATTAGATTTTCACATGAGGGAGAAGACAGACAGAGGGAGGTGTACTTGCAGGAGCAGCTGCTTTTGTTTGGCGGCAGCGAAAAATATGAAGCGAAAACTTTTGATCGGAAAATATGTACATAAAATAAAAGAAAATTGCTTATAGATATACCAAAATCTACAACTTGTGTACATGTGGGGTATTCGAGAGAGTACCAAGGGTGTATTTTTTGTCGAGGGATATCTGGTATCGGTTATCCATATCTATATGAATAACCAAAGATACTAGAGTTACCAAACATTTTCTATAATATACCATTAAATACTACGATGTCCAGAATTGGTAGTAGTAATTGCAGTTTCTATATAAATCGAGAAAAATCTAAGCGACTTGTTTTCTATACCCGATAATTAAAAAAAGTCTTGGACTTTCACACAGAAAGTCTACCATAGACTTTCATGACTTCGTAGCCATGGACCGCCTCTTACTAATTTTCTGTAAATATCTCACGAGGTGTCTATTAAAATACGTGTGCACTCTGGCGGAGGGGAGCTATACTGACTGAGTATCGGGTATAAATTTTCCTATATCTACGATAACGTATCTAAATTGTAAAAGCAAGGTACGTATGATTTTCATATATATTCTTTCCACTACTTTCCCTTAACTTTCCTTCTGCCCTACAGCTGTCGTATATTTTTCCCATTTTTTCAAGACATTTTCTCATTGGCCTGAAGGCTGCTCTCTTTTTTGGGATGCCAGCAAACGATTTGCACGTATGTTTTCCGAACATCCGTCGATTTACAAAAATTATAATTGCAGCCCCAGTCCACAGTCACAGGCCCAGAGCGTTCCTCATTCAGTCAAACGCGGGGTGCAGGGGGATCTCAATGTGGGGTTCATGCCACGTTTACAATGCACTTCCGCCCCATTGTTGTTTTGCATGTTGACATGGCAGAGGAGCCAGAGGCAGAGCCAGCGCCAGCGCCAGGATTCAGAAACAGGAGTCAGACATATTACTCATACGCCCTGCTGCCGCTACTGCGGAGGAGGCGGTGGAAGCGCGGAATCGTTGCTGCGTGTTGACAATCATGGTCTCCTTTTTTTTTCGTCTGCCTGCCCCACTAATGTGCCACGCCTTTCGGGAAGTGTGCTCGTGTGTGCGTGTGTGGCAAGCGGAAAAAGTTGAACTGACAATCGAAAAAAGGATAGGAAGGGGTGGGAGAGGCAAGCGTCAGAGCCAGTCAAGTGTGTGGCTCGTCTTTTCTTTCCACACCTCCCGTGTAACAACAATAGCAGCTGCAGCGGCTGCAACAATACAACATGACAACTTCCGCTGCATTCTGCCGCCTGCTGCGGGCACAAAAGAAAAAGCGGCGCAACAGAAAGAGAACTACAGAAACACAGAAAGAAACAAACAAACAAACACTCAATGCCTGAGAGAGTGAGGAAAAGCGCGTGGAAAACTGTAACGGAATCGCATTGTGTAAGGAAATATGTTTTTTCCTGCTACCGAAAGGGATCGGGAGATGCAGGGGTGGCCTCATAGCAAACCTGAATCCCAAGTCCTGCATCCAACGATCGATTAAGAGGTGTATCTATGTATAGACAAAAATCTCGTAGATATATATATCTAATATATAGTATAGTAAATAGAGTATATACCCACACCGCGGATGCCCCTCCCCAGCATTGTGTGAAGGGGGCTGGAAATGTAATTAGTTTGATGACCGATTCGATTCGATTTGATTTGATTCAAACGCGCACTGTAATTCCATTTAGTTATGCAAATTAGATGCCCGACAAATCCCCACGCTTATTAATTACAGCCCTCTTTTTCTGAACTCTCATGAGTGGTGGCTATATCGTTGTCGTCTCCATCCTACACATATTCCACATGCTCCTCTTCCTCGTCATAATCAATGATGAGATGATCTGCCTTGTGGGCACACATCACCAAATGAAAGGCATAGGCACAGGGTTCTGTTTCAGGCGACGCTGTAAACCCCACCTCCATGCAGCGGCTGATCGAAATCGCTGTCTCTCCTGTTGCACACCGAATTGCACTCCACTCGTGTTTCATTCAGCAGATTCTTCAGATTGCCCAAGCTCTCGAACGCCTAGTATTCCTCGTAGGTGAGGCTGTTGAGCATCAGACATTACCCAAAGTCCTGCAGTCCCACATCGAAGAAGTTAAAGGGATGGCGGCATTAGGCAAAAACTGTTGCTCATGCTCCCCATTTACTATATTTACCCACCTGAGCAAGGCATATAATTAGAGCCAAGATCAATGCGAGCAGTCTGCTGGGGAACATGGCTAAAATATAACTGATTCGTAGGCTCCCCGATGAGAGAAAAACACTTTCCGATTCCAAAGAGTTGCGCAAAACCAGTTATATTTTTCTGTTGCATTATTCATTCAAATCGTTGTCTTTTTCCTGCTCTTCATCTACCTCATCACTTGCCTCCAGGTAATCCGATAAGCAGAGGAACATACTGAAGGCATATTCGCAGTTATCGGGGTCATCATCGTGCGCTCTTTTGCAGTTTTCGAGCGCTTGACGATGCTCATCCGTGAGGGGCTCAAGCTCATCGATTTTGGCTACATCCACACGACCGCGGCTGTCCAGAAGGTTGGCTCTCGCAACCAGACAGTGGGCAAAGCACTTGTATTTCCTATCCAGATTCTCCAGATCCTCCTCGGAGCTGCTGACGTTCATCTGTGCCTGTAACTCCTCTAGGGTGATGTGACTGAAGTATAGGCATTCGTTCATCAAATCGGATTCATCTAGCGTGGTGGGCAGACTCTATTGTAGATTGTTTTAGTTGAATGTACAGATGCGTATTCTATAGAGAGAGTCCTACCTCTGTGAGGGCTACCACTAGAAGTGATATAGCGATAGAAACATGCAACATTTCCAATATTTAGAATGAATATGGACAGCGTAGCGGAGTAACTGTTGGGTTAAACCAGATCTCAGCTATATATACACCCCATTGATTATCGGTTCAATCAGATCGGACTAATTGGCTTTGAGAGGAAACTGTTAGCGGGGAGAACAGTAGGAGTAGTCGTTAAACAACCTGAATCTCTCGTGCATTTAATTGGTATTAATTAATAAATATAACAAACTCTGACTGCTCCGATGAATAACTCATATTTTCCCTTGAAATTCTGCACCATTTTAAAGCGTTTCTAGGGGAGAAAACTTTCATACATTTTTTACATTTTATACGCAGTGGAAATTCGCATAAAAATGTTCTGTCAACAGGAGAGTACGAGTATTTTCTAAAAAACTCTTGCTGGTGCTGCAAACCGAAAATGAAGCGACAACTGCAGAACGAAGGGCGACAAATTGGGGCTGAAAGAAAAGGGCACGTGATGGTGAGGGGCATGCAATGGTGGCATGCAGTTTCAAACCAAGCGAAAACTTTAGACAACAAATGAAAATTCCAAGGAACCCTCACATTCGCAGTGAGGTTTTCGGTTTTTGTGGCAGGGAACTCTCTGTCTCTCTGCCACTTCGTTTATTTACGGCCTTGGGCATTCGTTTTTTTCCACATTCTCGTATGCTTTGGTGTATATTTTGGGCCCTGGCCAAAAGGCAAATATGTGTACTATGGAAAATTGCAACATTTTTATGGTCATCACAGGAGGTGCTAAACTGTGTCCTGTTTTGCATTCCCCTTCTGTGATATTTATCAGCGTTGCGCTGCATAATTGCATTTTCAATGGACTCCATATAAGCCATCAATTTTTCGTAGAAATGTAGGCTGGAAAATGTGCCATGCTTATTAGGATTCCTTAATCGGTCCTCTGTTTCAGGACTCTGTTTTTTCAGTGCAGGATTCCTTTGCAGGATTCCTGCGCAGCTCAAAATTAAGCCAATATTTCATCTTATTTAATATCTTTGGATGATATTATAATAAATATAAATTTCGTTGGGTGAAAAGTTCCCTTGTGTAAAAGAATGGACGGGTCTAAAGGGAGCATCAGCATCCCTACTAAGAATGCTGCTTCTGGCGCTGTTGCATGCCACACCTTTACGGAAAAGTTTTCTGCAAAGCAAAAAAACGATGGAACAGAAAAAGTTGGCGCTGCTTTTTTGTATACTAAAAATAAATAGTCCGACGACTTTTCAATATGCGTGTCACGTATTTTGCATGCACTTTGATGGCATGGCCACGCCCCCACACAAACGCGTAAACAAGGCATGAGTGGCACACGCCGCATCCACAGGAGGAATGTCCCCTGCGATTCCGAAATATGCGTGTAACCTGAAAAGCACATAGACAGACGGATAGAGAGAGAGAGAGAGAGAGAGAGAGAGAGAGAGAGAGAAAGACAGAGAGAGTGAGGTACTTAATGGTGCATCTACAGAGCCCTGCAGCGTCTGAAACAATGGATAATGCAACAAATTAATTGCCGAAATTTCAAAGGGTTGGCAAGGAGAGAAAAAAGTGGAAGTACCTCCTTCAGGTTACAGCAGCAGCAGGTCCATTTTGGGTACAAAAGGACACACTAAAGCAGTTTACATTTATCAATTAGTATGAAATGGAGACCAAGGCAGAAGGCAATGGCAGGACTCCCTTCTGCTGGAGACCAAGCCATCTGCCAAGAGTTCATTGCAATAACAGCTAGGAAGGGTCGCAGGCACCGCCCTGCCCACTTTGGACCCACTGAAGTGTGAACTGGTGAAAAATAAACAGAGAGTTGCCAGATATCAGGAAACGCCATGTCCTTGGAGATGAAGCTGCATCCTTGGAAAGAAAGTCAAACCCTACTCTGTCGTTACTCCTGCTTGTCTTCCCCCCCCTCCTACTCGTTGCTTTTCCCGTCGGTAATTACAAAATTTTTAATTAAATGTTAAGTGTGGAATGGGACGAGGGTCTTCCCTTTAAGCACTCATAACTGTAAATGTGCACGGAGCAAAGCTTTAAGTTCCACTCTAGGACGATGATGATGACTTGACTCTTCTGTCTTCTGTCCACCCGCCTTTCCACTCTCCTCTAGCATGCCCCGGATGGACGAAACTATCTTACAGAACCATGGACTATCATCAAACGGAACGGACTCTCTCTCTCTCTCTCTGTTTATTTTTCCAACTTTCCGTGTGATTTTCACGCCTCGCTGCCATTCGGTGACAATTGTTTTCACTGCCAAAAATAATGCACCCACACGGTGTCCATTGATTTGTTGGGTCCACAGCGACTGTTCAGAAAACAAGAAACCTCCCAACTAGGGGAAAAAATAAAAATTAGAAATGCTTCTAGAGGAAACCGTTCGGACGTCTTTTTGCGTTTCGAATCGGTTCTGAGTTCACATTTCAATCGATTTTTAGCACAAATTTCAGGTTTTGCAATTTTCAGATCTACTACAGTTTCTGCTGAAAAAAACTTCGATATCTTTCAATAAGGAATAAAGAGAGAGTATCCCACTGCTCGCATTTATGTATGTTTGGTATCTCTGGCATTCGACACACACCTTTTAGGCTTCGCTTTGGCTTTGTCGAATGCTGAAGAGAGCTTAAAGTTTGAGCTTAGTGCCGTTAGCCGGTGCCTCTCGAGTGTGCGGAATAGTTTTGTATGGAAAGAGGAGGATATTGCAGGGGTGTAAAAAAGGGAGGCATTACGTTAACTGAAAATAAACCGAGTGTTAAAAGTGGACTTACAACACACTGGCCATCCCAAACCATCCCTTTCCATCCATTTTTATTGCCGAGCGAACGAACGGAAGGACGGTCGAGTGAGGTCCGTGAGGCGTAAATAATCGCATTAGTTGCGAAATTAAAAATTACTAAATAAAAATAGAATAGATAAATCCGCCCACGAATGGGTGGATTCCCCCTCTGTTTGGGCATCCTTATTTAAAACGATTTACTGCTAATTGAATCGCCAGTGCAAAACGGAAAAGACACGAAAGGACAGAAAAGTAAAAGGTGCTGTCTGGTGACTGGTAGAGAATTTAGTAAAGCCAATGCATAAAATCTAATGTCCTGGAAGTTTGGGGCTGCGCTGCCTAAAATTTGCTAAAGAGGTCAAAGGTGACCCTTGGACTGGCACAACGTGGAAAAGTATCGCAATTTATGTCCCGCCATATACATATCTGTTTACATACGACTATATCTATAAATATTTCATCTATACTCTGTGGCACGCTGGGCATGATGACCTCAATAGCTGCCACATCGAATGAAAAACGGGACGACGACGACTCTTCCGACTGGCGCCTGTCCTTCTCTTTTGTGGTATGTCACGTCTTGGTGCAAATTTAAATCAAATCTCGTGGCAGCAGCAGCAGCAGCAGCAATAAAGAGAGAAAGCAATGGAGAAAGGGAGAAAGAGAGTCAGAAATCAGTTTTCTTTTGTATGGCGTTTGAAAGGTTTCAAATGATTTCAATTGTTGAGTTGCATTGACAATTCCAAAAAGCCGAAAGGATGAAGAGGTAGAGCTCAATCGCCTTATAGATGCTTATTCTCTATTTATCCCTTTCTTTCTTGTTCTCTCTTTCTGTTTCTTTGCATTCTTCAGTATCTGCATCTTTCTCTTTCTCTTGTATATAGTATCGCCTCTGAGCTACATAGTCCGAAGTTCGTGTAAAATGATATGCATTCTTAGCCTTTGAGTGGAGTCCATGGCTTCTCCTTTGACCCCAGTCTGGCGTGTGGCAGGTGCAAGACCTCCACATTGTGTATTCAACTCCAAGAACTTAACCCTTCCCCCAGACAAACGATACATGACTGCGACTGCGACTGAGTGTCGTGTGGCAGAATAACAACACTCATTACTTGAGTGCTGGCTGCAACTGCAACGTACTGTTTGCAGCCTTTTTGTGGCAATTTTCGAGTGCGCTTTCTGCAGTTTTTAACTTGCAACAACAAGAGTCAAGCGCTGCCTTTTTCTTCTTTGCAGCAGGTGCATGTTTGTGCCTCGTTTTGTGTGTGTGTCTTGTGCTGAAAAGTGCCACACCAAGCGTCATTGATGGTAACGTTGATGTTGCTGCTGCTGTTGCTTGTGTCGTCAAGCTGCCACTTGTCACATGGCAACAGTTTAGTTTTCCACTCACCCACACACACACACACTTGAGGAGGGCAAGTGGCGCCTCAAGTTGCACTCTCACATACGGCAAAACGGAAATCAACGCAGTGCGCCCTCGTCGCCGGGCCAAATGAATGGAGACGAAAGAAAGCGCTCGTCGAGACACAAAAGGGGTGGGGAACTGAGGGACGAAACCGCCCACACCCTCCCCCCACTAGCCCACCCACCAGATTATCAGATGAGGGATACGAGGGAAGGCTTTAAGTGTGGAATTTATGCGGCATTCTGGGGAATGTGAATCTTTGGGAGAAAGAAACCAGAAAGCTCTGATATTGAAAAGGACGCCACAGAAATATCTTTGTTTTACTCAAATATCTTGGAGATAAGATCTTTTTTCGTGCACCACTTTTATGCTATGTTTGCTAACAAGAGTTTAATTAAATTAATGCAAAACGCGTTGCATTAAACGATAATCTGAAGTTTGAAATTCTTGTCGAAATCATATCAAATAATCAAATATTTATATATTTAACAGAAATTCGTATTAGTAACACACAAAAGAAAAAAAAAAAAATCCATAAAGGAGTATAAGCAAAATTAAAATAGTAACGTTTTTGAGACATTGATAAACGATGCAGCATACACTCATACACTGCCTGTTGCTGGCTCTACTCGCAGTGGTAAGTTGTTCAGATCTTCCTATTGTAAGCGACTGATTTATCCGGTATACCATGGACACAGTTACTGCTGTCGACTAGAGCATATGCCCGATTTTTGCCCCCCCCAGTGGCGATCCGGCTACCAGCCATTATTGCAGGCAAGAGCGAGATGTCCATACTGCCACCCAGACCAACAGCAGCCGCTGTGCGGTCAACCAGAGTCAACTCCCTTGTCAAAACCAGCTCCCCTGAGATCCAAAAAGAGTCAAAGAAAATTGTGGCACGAGAAGCAACGGAAGGAGCTCCCGCTCTGAAGAACATTCGACGTGATAAGCGAGAACTGCTTGTGGATACCCCGTACGACTTTCACACGACGCACTTGTTCTGTGACTTCGACATGCGGGGCAGGCACCGCCTCATCCCCTATATGCCGAACCACTGCATTTGGGTCTGGAACAACAAGTACGTCCACGAGGGATTCTACCGCCTCTACAAGATGTACCAGCTTGAGGCCTTCTCTTTTGGCCAGTACGCTTTGCGATTGTTCCAGATAGAATATGAAAATTACCAACCAGACCTGCCAAAGGGAGCTTGAATCTGTGGGAGAAAGAAACCAGAAAGCGCTGATATTGAAAAGGACGCCACAGAAATATCTTGGTTTTACACAAATATCTTGGAGATAAGATCTTTTTTCGATAATCTGAAGTTTGAAATTCTAGTCGAAATCATATCAAATTTGAACTAAAATCAAAGAAACCGCCCAAGAAAAATCAGCCGTATAGTCTCATACCAGCGCACAGGAGAAATTGTCTACATGTACTTATTCGTGGTTGACGGGGTTTCTTTTCGGGCTCTGGTTCTTGGTTCTTCCCTCAGTGTACTGGGTACTGGGTATATTGCTTAGCCTCGCGTTTTTCGATCGCAAATCTTGTTGCCTTATAGTACAGTCCCTACGCCTTTGATGCAATAGAGTATCGCACAAACCCGTGATGCCCCTAGGTATTCATACATATTTCCAAGAACTAGAAAACTTGTTGCCATTTCGATATGTGTCCGGTTTTCACATTCGGCACTCCGTTCCGCTGAAGCCTATGGCTATATGGAACTGTCAATTACTCTAGCAGGTATAAGAACACATACGCTCAAAAGAAATCTACGTAGTTCGATGAGGCCGAAATAAAGAACTCCTGGAGACACGCTCGGGATGGACAAATAAGCAACGAAACCCGCCCCAACACCCTTGATTATCAAATGAGGAGAGCGAGCGAAGGCGTTTTTTGTTTAGCAAAAAAATAATTGCCATTGAAATTTTTCTCAGATACAAAAATTCATTACTTCACAGGAATTACTTTTAGAGTCACTCACAAAAATTATTCAATAATTATTCAAATTATATAAGTGAATTTGATAGGTTTCTAGTACATTAATAAACAATGCAAGATACACCCGCACTTTGCCTTTTGTCGGCTCTACTCGCAGTGGTAAGTTATTCAGGTCTCCATGTAAATATACATATAACCTCTGATAAGCGACTGATTTATCCGGTATACCATTCACCCAGTCACTGCTGTCATCTAGAGCATATGCCCGCCGTTTGTCGTCCCCAGATGCGCTCCCATTCCCAGGAGAGCAGGATATGATTATTCCCCAAAGCGCCATAGCCATACCCACCCCCACAGCTAAAGCGACAGCATCCACTGTGGGGTCAGTCAGGGTGAACTCCACCAGCTCCAGAGAGATCCAAAAAGATTCCACAAATCTTTTTGCACGAGCAGCAACAGAAGGAGGCTCCGCTGTGAAGCACATTCGTCGAGCGAAACGAGAATTTTTTGTGGATACCCCGTTCGACTTTCACACGATGCATTTGTTCTGCGACATCGACATGCTGGGGAGGCACCGCCTCATCTGGTTCTTCCCGAATCACTGCATTTGGGTCTGGAACAACAAGTACGCACACGAGGGATTCTATCGACTCTACAAGATGTACCAGCTGGAGGCCTTCTTCTTTGGCCAGTGGAATGTGCGGCTCTTCCAGTACGAGCTTGAGAAGGCAACTTTTTACGCTAACTAGGATCGGACTATAGAGTAGAGTCTCCTCTGCCGCTACCGCTACTGTCGCCGCTGCTGCCGGTTGTGCCATGATAATGAGAATCCGATGAGATTTATCCGTACTAGATGCCAGCCATCGGAATGTAATAGACTCTTTTATATATCAGTGTTTATTGAATATTAAATCGAAGAAAAAATTATGTCATTCACACACGCACACCCACAGATCGGGAGGAGCAGGAGGCGGGCCAAATTAATGCGGACGAAAGAAAGAACTCGACGAGACACGAAAGGGATGGCAAAATGAGTGCCAAACCCCCCCCATACCACCACAGAATATCAGATGGGAAGTGCGAAGTAAAGCTTCAAGTGTGGGACCTATAAGGCGTTATAGGTAATTCTCATTAAAAATAGTGAATTATGAAAATCGGAGAAACAAGCCAGACAGCGCTGATATCGAAAGGGACGCCACATCTTCGTTTCAGACGAGTATCTTGAAGAAACGATTTTTTTTTAGCACGTGCGACAAAAAAAAAGCACAAGTGGAGAAAAACGTATCCGATATAGTCTCAGAATAACAGTTACGTATGCATGCATTCAAAATGCCACCCGCAGTAACAATGTATCCATTCCGTGGCACTAGCGATAATAATAGAATACAAAATTGTACCTCATGCCTCATTGTTAGATCAGCTTCGATTTTACAATTCAGTTAGAATTTACAACTCAACTCTCAAATGTCTACACTTTCCTTTTAAGGAAGGAATGACCTTAGAAGTTGTTGTTAAATTCGAATGTTCATTGCTTTAATAGGAATTCGCTTTAGAATCACATACAAAAATTCTTGAACGAATAGTAGCAAAATTATATAAGTGAATTAGATAAGTTTCTGATACATTGATAAACGATGCAGATTACACTCGTACATGGCCTTTTGTCGGCTCTACTCGCAGTGGTAAGTTATTCAGATCTCCATGTAAATATACATATAACCTCTGATAAGCGACTGATTTATCCGGTATACCATTCACCCAGTCACTGCTGTCAACTAGAGCATATGCCCGACGTTTGCCCCCCCCAGAGGTGCTCTCATTCAAAGGCGAGCAGGAGATGGTAATTCCCCAAAGTGCCATAGCCATAGCCGCCCCTACAGCCATAGCTACAGCAACAGCGACAGCAGCCGAAACCGATGTTGAGTATACCAGGGCCAACTCGACCAGCTCCAGAGAGATCAAAAAAGAGTCAACGAATCTTGTGGCACGAGAAGCAACGGAAGGAGCTCCCGCTGTGAAGCACATTCGTCGAGCGAAACGAGAATTTTTTGTGGATACCCCGTTCGACTTTCACACGACGCACTTGTTCTGCGACATCGACGTGCGGGGCAGACACCACATCATCTGGTTCTACCCGAATCACTGCATTTGGGTCTGGAACAACAAGTACGTCCACGAGGGATTCTACCGCCTCTACAAGATGTACCAGCTGGAGGCCTTCTTCTTTGGCCAGTGGAATGTGCGCCTCTTCCAGTACGAGTTCGAGAAGCCCAGTTTTTTCGAATACTAGGATTGGATTACGTAGTGCCTTTTGCCGCTGCAACTGCGACCTCCGCGATTGCTCCTGTTGCTTGTGTCGTCAAGCTGACACTTGTATCAAGGCAACTGTTTCGAGTACCGTTGTGATTAAGTCGAGAAACGAGGTTTTTTTTTGGTGCTATTTTAATTGTAGTAACTGTTTTTGATTAATATGTGGATTGTGACATGATTAAACATGTTTCGCACTCTATCCTAAAGATCTTAGATTTAACATAGATATATCAGCTATTTGGATGTCGTGTTGAAATCATATTAAAGTCTTTATTTAAATTGTAAAGCCCTTTAATATTAAGTGGGAAAAAGACGCCCAAGTCGGAATTGCAATTGCTCATACAAGACCGCGTTGGTGAGACTATGGGCTAAACAGCCAGAAAGCTAAATTTGATTAAATAGTGTAACAATCAATCATTTCTGCTGCACCGATGCTCCCAGCTCAACTGGAAAGCCAAGCTGACGCACATATTTCTCTTGATCTCACTGCATGCTTTTCCCCATAAGGATATCTCTGTTTTTGCTGTTAGTCCGTTAGCAAATGTGGCCACTAAAAGGAATTCGTTTCAGAAATACACACAAAAATGCTTAAACGAATAGAAGCAAAATGATATAGTTGAAATATATGTGTTTTTATACGCTCGTACATTGCCTGTGTCCGACGCTACTCTACTCCCCCTTTGGATATATAGCCTCTGATATTCGGATAAGAAGTATCCGGTATTGGTGGTATTATCCATTGAAACATTCACTGCTGCCGATTAGATCACATGGCATACGTTTTCCCCCCACCAGAGGCGTTCCCTTTCCCTGGCTATCAGAAAAACACAGTAACAGCAACCACTGTGGGATCAACCAGGGCAGCTCCACAGGGATCCAAACAGAGTCAACGAATCGTTGCACGAGCAGCAACAGGAGCTGCGGCTGTGAAGCACATTCGCCGAACGAAGCGAGAACTGCTTGTGGATACCCCGTTCGACGTTCCAAGACGCACTTGTTTTGCGTCCTCGACAGGCGGGGCTGCTGCGATTGTGTAGGTGTGTCTAAGATGTGACCCATTGGCCTCCTCATTGGCGTCTCTGTAAGACACAATTGTTGTAAAATAGAACATAGATGTATAGAAGAATTTAAATTATTATTTAATTTGGAAAGAGTACGCCGGCCTTCTGGCTGTAGCTTCTTGTTGAAAAAAAGTAATTTGGTCAGAGTACTACATACCTTGCGATAATGTATACCTTTAATGTATAAATAATGTAGTCAACTCCGTTGCATGTACTCCACCTCAGAGCTTTGTCCACTCTCTGCCCCACACGGATGCCCGGACAACAGCTGGTACGCCTGCTGGTGATGCAGCATGACTGTAAAATTGTATACGTAATTTAGGAAAATATTAGAAAATCCCCAGGAAAAATAATCAACAAATAGCCAAGAACAATTTGTCTACTCTTTTGACTGGTAAACATATATTTATACTACATATATGGGAATTTTATGAGTATTATTCTTTTTGCTGCTGGGGTAGGCCTTTGGGTCGGGCTTTATGTTCTTTTTTTTCTTTATTTGTCGTCCACAGTTTGACAGATAGGTAACATGCACAGTGCAGCCTTAAAAAGCGTAATAACCTTTCCATCTTTACCCTAAAAAGCATTTTAATGGACTGATTAATAGGAGAAGATTCAAGCTGCATGGGTATTCAATGGTCGACAGAGAACATCTTTAAGGCGAAAGAGGCCTGCTCTGTCAGTGATAGTAATCGTGTAGCTTGCCCATCTGAAGCCTCTCAACTGGCACTCCTACCTCTCTCTCTCTCCCTGCCACAATATTTGTGCACAAGTGTGCAGTGTTGCATAAGCTGTAAGAATAACCTGCCGTCCTCTAGCCCATATGCATTGGCAGCCCATATACTTGCCACAGGACAGGCAGACAGACACAGCCACTGCCACTCCTCTGGCATTGGGAAATATTTAGTTTCGATACGCTGCCTTTGGGCCAAACTCATTTAGATGTAAATTTTCGGAGCCAAGACGCTACCGGCTGCCGGCTGGTAGAGGAAGACAGGAGGGGAAGTGCATAAAATTTAATAACTACTAGCAAGTATTTATCCTTTGTGCTAGTCAATGGGCAAACGATTGGGAAAAGGGGCTGTGCACTTTGTGGCAGGGATAAACTGAGCGGATTAAGCACCAAGGGAAATGCTCTACATGTTGTACGACCACAAGTCCTTATCCCAAGTCCTTTGTCTTTGTCGCCGAAAGTGTGAAAAGAATTTTAAATGTGTGTGCAATCACTCAAAAGATGTCCGCTTCCACCCCCCCCCACACAATGCACCTTTTTGAGCTGCCACAGATTTATGTGGTGCCCCCGAAAAGAGGGGGTTGAGATAGTTGACCGGGCCAGCCGGACCAGACAACCACTTTGACATCCATCCAGCCTCGTTCCCCGTTCTGCCGTTATTTTTCCGAGCAGCTTTTCAAGCTAATACTCTCGATCCGTTGGCACCTCTCGCTCCCTCTCTCTCTCTTTCTGCCACCTGCTTCCTGATTTCTGCTGCTGCTGTATGTTGTCTGGCTCTCGCTCTCTTCATGACAAATGTTTTTGTTTACCCCAACATAATTCTTTTGTGATTGATGTGCTCGGTCCTGCAGCTCCCCTGCTATGCTATGTTCCGGCTACAGTCGGATTTCCCTCAGTTTTTCAGCCCCTGACTTTTTCTCTGCGTGTGTGTGTGTGTGTTTGTTTGCATAGAAAAGAGGCAGGAGAGAATGGTATGTATGTATGTATGTACGTGCACCTCTTTTGTCGCCCTGGTCTTGTGGCACTTGTAATAATTCGTTGCCAGAGTCTGGGTCACTTTCTGAAAGGTGCAGCAGCGGCCTTATCTCAAGTGTTTTCCCTGGGAGTGGAGTGGAGCACGGAAGAAGAGTAGAGCACTCCTGTGCGCCTGTTGGTGAAGTATTTATGGGAAGGTGGGCCCTAGGGCTTCATAATTTTGGAGATGGAAATTTACTTAACACAGCTATCAGAGTGGAATAGGTGTACGGATAGGCTAGTAAAATAAGATGCACTTAAAATCAGTTTCCACCTGAGAATGATTCTCTCGTACACCTATTCCTATCCGTACAACTATTTCACTCTGACGGCTGTGTTAAGTACAGTTATCTTTAACGACAATTATCCAGTTGATAGCAGAAACCAATGTATAATTAATTGCAAAATGTTTCTATGAGAAAAAGTCAAGTAAGACAATTTGTTTCGCCGCAAACCAAAAGTTTGTCTTTCTTAATGTATAAAGGATAAATGATATCTTTCTTTCTACATATACTTACCTAAATATACTATCTCTGTCTTTCCCATTTTCAAAGAATTGTTAAGAGAAATTGAAATTGCAGCCAGAACGAACTGCTCTACTGTCAAAGTGCCTTTCCTCCCATCTAACAATACACACATCAACTGAAGGAATGAATTGAGCAAAACTGGTCTCCCGGACAGGCCAAAAGTTAATTTAAAACTTGTGGGAGACACCACCACCACCACGCATTTCCCGCACTCCCACCCCCGAGAGAGATAGAAATAACAGATATCAGCAGAGCAGTTCGCTCCGTAGTTTTCCCAGATGACAACATTTCAAGCTTGTCTGCGAACGTAAAAAAGTTCTTTAAGCCTTAAAGGATTTGAATCAATATGCGAGTGGGACATATGTCCGCGAATCTTTTAAGAACTTGAACAATCACCATCCCTACAATATGTATATAAGCACAATGGGGGGATGGGGGTATTAACCATATACTCGTACATATCTACATATATCCCTCAACCTGGATACACTTTCGAGAAAATTCAAAGAGAAAGACGACGCGTCGCGACATTGCCCTGGCGTAAATTGACGGCACATTTCTCCACCGCACTCTCTTTTCCCTTTCCCGTTTTCACTCCTTTGGTTTTCCCTAAGCTGTTCAAAACAACTGACAACCGCAGAAGTAGTGCGACTTTTACTGCGCTGCTGGCATCCGCCATGGGTTGCACTCCCCACTCCTTTTTCTGGGGCGCAACTTTCGTTCGCTTCCGGCGACAGCCGTCGCCCACCCCCGACAGTGCCGACAGTCGACAGTTGTTGAAAAGTCAGAGGAGTTCTGGCTCTGGCGGATCTCCTCTTCCTTCTACCTTCTTCATTCTAGCTTCTGATTCGGCCTCTGCCGCTGCCTTTGGCTTCTGGTTGCTGCTTTCTGTTGTTGATGTGCATTTGGCACTTGATGTAATTGCTCAGCCTTCTTCTTCCCCCCAAACAAAGAGTGGGGGGGGGGGGTGAAAAATGGTCATTGAATAGTTTTGCCGCTGCAATGAGCGTGAACGAGCATCAAAGTCGCTTTTAACCAAGCTCGCAGTCGAAATTTATTACAAAATTCCATTAAATCTGTAGGTGAAGCATCAGCTTCAGGCTTCGGACATTGTTCGCAGCCGCAAAACTATGCAAATAAGCTGGGAATTTGTTAAATAATGAGCCAGGAGCAGGAAACCTCTCCTGATGTTTCATTTCTAGCAAGGGGAGGATGATGCAGCTGGACAGTGCTGTGGCCAGGTAGACGGAATTACTGCATCCGTTAAGGCCTAATTCTTTCCGCTGAAAGCTTTTTGGTGTTTTCTGAGGTGCAAGGAAGAGAAGAGAAACCTTTGTTTCAAGCCAAAAAAGCATTAGAGCCCCTCCACAGTACAATTTTGGTCAAAATGTAAACTACAGAGCAAGGGATCGCACTTTTTCGGAAAATCAGGAAAGTTTCTCCCAGAAGCTTCTCCTATTGGAAAGTCATTTTTCTTCGGATTCTTATTCTCTTATTCTTGTAATATCATTCTTTTTCATATCATTCATATCTCTTTCATTTGTCACCGATTTTATAGTGCACACAGACACCCGAAAATATTCGCTTCGCCCACCATTTAATGACATTTTCCTTTGCATTTGCAGAATTTCCTTTTATTTTTTTCCTCGTTTTTACTCTTGAAATGAAATGAAATTTATGCGAAGTAACAAAATGCAAATAATTCCAACGAAATTTTCATTTCTCATACAAAAAAAAGAAGAAACACACACACAAAAGATTAACCCATTGAGTGGCGGCGGGGGTTAAACGGCTGTAAGCAGCAAGTGTCCGACGGGTAAATTCCCTCCGATTAACCCCTGTTATGGTGTGGGGGGGATGGGTG